ATGGTTGGGAATGTGGTCGTTGTGTCATTTGCCTTCCCTTGGGCTCCCTCCCTCCCTTCCCGACTCTTGGTCTCTGCGGATCAGCTCAGGCGGAGCTGGCTGCCTCTGCCTCTCTGGCTGCAGCTGGTTCACGGAGCTGAGGTTGGCTCCAGGCTGTCTTTTTTTCTTTCAAACCAGGGAAGTTTCACATCCCTAGCATATGATTTTGGCAACCGATCTGTGCTCCGCAGTCTGCTGGGGTAGGTGTGAGGGTCCCACCCTGACACAGCTCTGCTCCATGCTCTCTTCCCTCCAGCCAGCCGGTGCAAAGGGCCACCATCCCCTGGTCATCCCCTGCCAAGTCCAACCTGTACCCAGTGCTGTCTCTCATCCTTTCACAGGGAAAGTCCAAGGAGGAGAAGGCCAGCCAAGAGCAGGCGACTCTCTTTACAGGACCTGCTGCCTTGAACGTCTTGCTGGAGCCAAAGCAGAAGGTGGTGCGGCAGGACCTGGCCATGCCAACACCAGGGCCTTGCAGCGGCTGTTGCAATGCATCTGCCATGTGCTCCCTCTTCCCTTTGAGCTGCAGGCTTGCATCAGCCCAGCTTGAAGGTGTTAGCTCCCTTCTTGGCTGACCATAGGCCTCTGGGTTTATCTCTTACCTACATCACCTCTTTTGCCTTATTAGCTGTGTGGCAGCCCCATTAACAGCAGTTGGAAAGACAGCAAGCAGAGGGCATCGACCAACCCATGTGAGGACAAACTCAGGGGCCTTGACAATGGTGTTCGTAGGGACCGGGCTCTCCTGTGCTACCACAGCCTTTGCTATCCACAAGCCCCTCTGTGCGTTATTGAGGAAGGAGTTATTCCCAGAAGAACAAGGCAAATCTGCTTGAGATCACTGGATGGAGCTGAACACAGAATCAAGCCCTGCTGCGTCCGAGCTGCATCTGGACTTGATCTTAAAGACCTTTTCCAACCTAAATGAGTCTATGGTGCTCTTGCTCCAGGTTCTTTTCTCCTATCAATGCCCCTCAGAGCGTCCTTCCAGCCTCACTGAGCATCCTCTGTCCTTTCATCAGAGGGAAGGGTAAAACAGGAGCCCTTCTCTGGCTTCTCAGTATTGCCAGCATTATTTTGTATAGCTCCATCAAGCTCTCCACATGTTATGTCTTCTCTAAATTTAACAGGCCTAATCTTTTCGATCTGTCCTTTCACAGGCACCTTCATCTGCCACTAATCATTTTTGTTTCCCTTCTCTAGAACTTTCCTCTCTGCATCTCCTTGCTGGGCAGGCCATGATGTAACCAGGGAATGCACTCACAGCAAGGTCACGCATTCCCTTGGGTATTGCCATTACACTAGTTTTAGAGCTATTCTTGGTGTGTTTCTTACCACGGTTTTCCATCACGTGTTTTTGTGGCAGACTTGATCATTCTCACAGCTGCACCCTGAGCAAAGTGATCCATGAGTTGTTGGTTATATAGCCTTTCACCTGCGTCCCCTCTGCTCATTCAAGGGGCATCAGTCACATCTCGGCCAGTGGCAGAATCCTGCCTGGTTCTTCAAAGCACCTTTGCCAGCCCCTTCTGACACCTCTAGTCTGAACTAACCCAAATGGTTGTGTTGCTGGTAGATCTTGACTCCCTCCTGGGCTCACTCTCACACTGCTGCTGCAGGCATCTTAGGATTTTCTTCCCCATCTTCTTGGATGTTCAGGAACCCTCAGGTTCTCCCATTCCTTTGCGCTTCTTTATTGCTTCTCAGGGAGATCCTGTGCCACTTCTCCTTCTGCGTCTGTTTTTGCACAGCCAGAGGAGCACGCAGGTCTCCATCTGTGATGCTCCATGGCCCTGCAGTGGGCAGGGAGGGAAGCTGCCGTGCCTCCTTGGCACTCAGAAACTCTGCCTCTCTAATCCCTTAAATAGACCAGCCGAGCAATATCTGTTGGCACAAGTGCCCTGCAGTGGATTCGGGGGATTTCTTCTGCCCTCCTCTGGAAAGCAGGCTGAAGCAAGTGAGGTGCTCCTGGAGCTTTGTGGTGCTCTGAGGCCGTGCCAGCTCCCTGCTGTCCTGCTGGCCACCCACCAGTCCAGGACAGTCCGGGGGCTTCCTGCCAGCCCACAGCAGCTGTCTGATCCTGTAGCCATGTGAAGAGTCGGATGAGAAAGCTGAACCAACTGAAAGCCAACCCTGCAAGAAGCAGCCATGAGTTTGTCAGATCCGTTAACAGAGCCAGGTCACTACTGTGGGGCAAGTGAAGGGAGGGGTGCTTGTGAGTGCTGAGCTGGATGGGAAGAGGCAGACCCCCCCCAAGACCTTGCAAAGAGCCTTGTGTTGACCAGCTAACGCTTTGACAGTCTTCACCTGCATGAAGGGGAGTCCCCAGTGCTCTGCAGCCCCTCTGCCCATCGTGGCTCCAAGAGTTTCTCCAGGCTCCTGCATTCTGGCTTGGTTTTGCGGTGGGGCCGGAGTGCCTGGTGCCTGGCACCACTTGGGAGAGCATCCCCAAGGGCCCCTGTAAAAGGCACCTGGGATTTTCTTTAAGACTCATTTCAAAACAAAATAAAATGTAATAGTAATTAAAACTGCTGCGGTCTCCCCTTGAGAGCTGCTGGAAGGAGCATAACTCAAGGTAATGGTGTTTTTCTTTGCTTGAGCCAACTTTGCTCTACAGCAAGCTGTCCGGGAGGTGCCCTGGTCCCACAGGAACATAAAAAACCTGGCAGAAATGGAATGCTGAGACCACAGCACTGCAGAGGGGCCCGCAGGGCTGGACTGTGGCCTCTGCTTTGATGGTAGCTCCCAGGCTAAAGCCCTCTGTCTGAAATGGTCAGTCGTGCCGCGGTTGAGACTGGCTTGTGCTCCCGGTCGCACCCTGCACCCTTGGCTGGTTACCCTGCAGCTGGGACAGCCTCTCAGCATTGGGTGACTGTCCCCAAATGTGGCTGCTGGCAGGGTCAGACCCTGCTCCCAAAACACCGTCACCCCGGCAGGACTCTTGGGACTGGGATTTGCATCAGTTTCAGACAGCCCGAGGTGGGTCGGTGGCTCTGGAGATAAGCACAGAGCCAGGGTCCTGCTGCCCCTGTCACCTCTGAGAGAGCCCTGCTAAGTCGTGTTCGCTTCTGCAACCCAGGGGCTCTCCACCAGCTCGCTCTTCTCCTTCTCTCTACTTGATTTCTCATGAAGGACACCTCTCAGGTGGTCTGAACACTGTGTTGTCGCACCACAGACCTCAAGACAGCCGAGGTTGTGATCAGAGGTCTCTTCTGGCCCCAGCAGCAGAATTTCTCTCTGTCTTTTTTTCCCCCCATTCTTGTGCTCTCTCTGCTGAGGATGTCCTCATGGGGATGCCTGGAGAAACCACGGTTGGATTTTATCAGCACTGTGCCTGTCACCGTGGCATGACCACTCTGCCCTCGGTTCCCATCAGCCCTTCACTGGATGCAGTAGTGGAAGGGAAACGTCCCAAGAAGACAGAGCAGTAGGTGCCTTGAAGGGGTCCTCTTAGCCTTGAAGCCTCGATGGTTGTTGGATCGACCATCTGGATGCCGCAGGCGTAGCAGCACAGGCTAGCAGAAATCGAGTGGGAGTGTGCGCGGAAGCGTGCGAGTTGCCCGTATGTGTGTCGGTCCTACTGCCACAGCCCCCTGCCACCTTCCATCTCAGCTGGCAATGCCATGCCTGGAGAGTAGCTCATGCAAGCTCTGGCCCTGGGGTCTTGTGAGCTTCAGCATGGCCGTAGCGTAAAACAGAGGTGATGTCCAAGTGCAGGGGCTGTACTGCAGTTTCTGGATCGGCTGCTGTCTCCTCGGACCGGCAACTGCCTTCCCTTCCTTGCTGGAGCCGTCGATGGATCTCTCGTGCTTTGTGCTGAGCTGGTGGTAACTCCTGATGTCCACTTTCACCCCAGCAAAGTTCTAGGTAGCACTGGGGGAAACTTGGGTGACAGCAGAGTCACAGCCCACCGCGTAGACTTGGCAATGGTTAATCGTGGCTCCTCGCTGGAGTAGGAGTTGGGAGAATGAATCCCAGTCCTCTGGGGCTTCCTTAACCCAGAGACAGAATGAGATGGACTGAACTGAAAGGATCGTACTGACTCTCCATGTCGTTGTCTTAGACTTAGAAATTCTCCACCCCCTTTTTTCTCCTCTTCACCTCCAAGACGGAGGTGAGTTATTTGAAGGAATGTCTCATTCTGCTTGCATTGCAGCATAAAGAAAATGAGACTGTGTTTTGACAGAGCTGAACAGAAGCCTATGGTTAAGCAAAGATATGAAAGAGCAGTTTCAAAGAGGTGGCTTATCAGAAACAGGGTGAAGTGTGATATGGGAGTGAGGAGGGCTGGCACCGAATGCCCTAGAAACAAAGAGAAAGAGGACCTGGGCTGAAGAGGGAAATGCCAACGAATGCTGCATCTTGAACATGGCCAGGCTGTCAGGGAAGCTCCTGATTACAGCAAAGGCCCTGGCCACAAAATGAAAGCTCTTAGGAGCAGCTGGGGAGGAAATGGGAGGAGAAGAGAGATGAAATCCAGCTGTCTCAGATCCTACAGTTTACAGAGTGTTGGAGACTCTGGTGAGACACTCGAGTTGATCCTGCCCTGCTGCATGCAGAGATCTGAGGTCTGGGGCTTCCACAGACGGTTCCTGGCCTCCCAGATCAGCAGGAGGGATTGGGGCAGGAGGTCTCGGTATTCTCTGGGAGCTGTTTTAACCAAGCTGGTCTGCAGATCTAGTTAATGGAGGAGACTGGGTAGATTGGCCTGACTTGGAATCCTAAACAGGCTCCTCCAGGCTTCACAGCCTGGTCCTTTACTGGCTGTCAGCTTGAGTGCTTGGTCTCCAGCCATCAGCAGTTGGCCCCTCTCCCTCATTTTTCTTGGTCCCTCCAATTGCTGTGTCCCTCATTTGGTGGTGGGTTAGACTGGGTAGCTCCTCCCTGGTGGGAGAGGAAGCCATATTCCTAACAGGAAAGCCCCCAAGGCCTGCCAGGCTCACCCCATCCTGACTCCACAGGTAGGAGACCAGATCCTGGAGGTGAACGGCAGGAGCTTCCTCAGCATCCCCCACGACGAGGCAGTGAAGCTCCTCAAGTCTTCCCGCCACCTCATCATGACAGTGAAGGACATCGGGAGGCTGCCCCACGCTCGCACCACCGTGGACGAGACCAGATGGATAGCAAGCTCCCAGATCGGAGAGACCCTCGTCAACTCAGCAGGGTACGTGCTCGGTACACCTCGCGCAAGCTCGCCGTGGAGGTCTGTCAACTGGGAGCTGCTGTAGGGTGACTGGGGGTGTGGAGCCCCAGCACGTGAAATGGTGGCAGCTTGATGCACTGCAATACGTGTGGGCAAGCTGTTGATGGGAGCACCCCCAGTCCTCGGGTGTGTGGCCCCCATATCCAGTGCTTACAAGACAGAATCTTTGGCCTGTAAGGTGGGTCAGGTCTGGGCAACGTCCTGCTGCCCCTTCCCTCTTCTCACAGGCCAGAAGCTTTTAGCTTACGGGCGCAGGGAGAAGAGTACGTAACGGATCTCGTGCCGGGCCTCAGGTGATGAGCGACGGGCTCATGGTGGTCAGTGCTAACTGATCTTCTCCCTCCTCGCAGGGCAGTGGGCGACCGTGCTGCGGAGGCGACTGCCAGGGTAAGAGATATCAGACCTTCCTGATACCGTGTGAAAAAAATCACCGTTATTGTCTCTGATTTCCCATAGGAGGGAGGGCTTTGTGCTCCTGATTATAAAAAGGATGGTGGTTTTATGAGGACCGGTGGGTTTTAACTGGCTCTAGCCTTTCTCCTCCCCACCGCATGTTCCCACAAACGGTGACACGACGGGTACCCCCTCTCCTGTACCTCTGGGGGGTCAGTTCTGTAGCACATCTGGTGCTTCCTAGCCTGGGAATGGTCATGTTAGTGGGCATAGGGCCATGATCACGCACGGACAAGGTCTGTGGAGACCCCCTCCACCCTGCAGAGGTGACCATGATGCCTTCCACATGATGGCTCTCTCTGGGCCCTCACAGCTCCTGGGATCTTTCCCACCCCAAAGCCCAGCTGGGCCAGCCCCCTCCCCGGCGGCCGGGACGTACCCAGTGCTGTCACTGCAGCTCTGTGCCAGCCTGTCTTCTCCGAATGCCTCTTCGCAAAGAGCATTTCTTTTAAATGGAAATGAAGGAGCAAAGTTTCACAGGTGGCTCTCGCTGATAACAGCTTTACGTTGTTTGTTGGCAAAACATGCTCCCCAGCCCCAACTCCTCTCAGTGTCTCTGGGATAGTCAGGGTCTTGTCTGGCTCCGTATCCCTACGCTGACTGTGCCAGCACTGCCTGGGAGGGGAACAGGGAGGACCTCCTCTTAGAAAACCTTCTCAAAGAAAAAAGTCTTTCATCTGCAGCCAAACTTGTCTCTCCCTGGGATTCCTTTGGTTGCCAGTGGCTCTTTCTTCACCAGGGCCTGCTCTGAGCTTATAGAATCACAGAATGGTTTGGGTTGGAAGGGACCTTTAAGGTCCAACCCCCCTGCAGGGAACAGGGACATCCTCAACTCCGTCGGGTTGCTCAGAGCCCCATCCAACCTGGCCTTGAATGTGTCCAGGGATGGGGCATCCACCACCTCTCTGGGCAACCGCTGCCAGTGCTTCACCACCCTCATTGTGAAAAATTTCTTTCTTATATCTCGTCCAAATCGACCTTCCTTTAGTTTAAAACCATGACCCCTCGTCCTGTTGCAACAGACCTTGCTAAAATGTCTGTCCCCACCTTTCTTGTCAGCCCCTTTAGGTACTGGAAGGCTGCTCTAAGGTCTGCCCGGAGCCTTCTCTTCTCCAGGCTGAACAACCCCAACTCTCAGCCTGTCCCCGTAGGAGAGGTGCTCCAGCCCTCGGATCGTCTTCGTGGCCCTCTGAACTCACCCCAACTCACTCCAACAGCTTGCAGCAGGGGCAGATGCGACTTCTACACAAGATGGGAAGTTTGCCTCTCTCTTATGGCCCCAATTCCCCCAGCTCTGCCAGGGAGGAATACAGCCTGCTATTCAATCAATAGCTGGTCAAGGGACAGCGTCCGTGCTTGCTGAGCAGAGCTGGGAAGCTGCTTTGTTTATTCAACTGGTGCTGCATAAACTCCTGGCTCTGGAATTACCCAGACAAGTAGTGGCACTAAGTGAGCGGCCGTGCTGGCGAATCCTTGGGGATACCCCCCTCCCATCATTCTTGGCATCCCCCTTCCAGTCCCACTTTCCAGCTTTGCCACAGGTAGTTGGGTGAGAGCAGGGGTCTGAAACGCAGGCAGTTTGGGCTGTAGGCAGAGCCCAGAGCAAAGAGGCAGTTCTCGGTCCTGCCTATGCTGCCCAGCTGTCTCAGCAGTGAGATAGCTACCCTCCTTCCAGCAGCTTATTCCTTGGCATCCCAGGCCAAAGTCTGTCTCCTGTCTCCTGCAGCCTGTGTTTTACCGGGGCCTGGCCGGCTCCCAGGTAACGCTGAGCAGCATGGTGAACCAGACCCGAGTCATGCTGGAGGAACAGGCACGGCACCTGCTGAATGAACAGGAGCGAGCGACCATGGGGTACTACCTTGATGAGTATAAGGAAGGCAACATCTCCGTGGATGCTCTGGTCATGGCGCTCTTTGAGCTGCTCAACACACATGCTAAGGTGAGGCCCATGCCAAGGTCAGGGACAGTTTCTTGTACCCAGTGGACTGAGCAGAGCCGTTGTCACAGTGTGGCTCAATGCCTCTAAGGTTGTCTGCTCGGGGTCAAGGGTGAGGATATGAAAGTAAAATCCAAATGTAGGACATTCTGGGGGATACAGGCTGGTGTTCAGTGGCGGAGGAGCTTCTGGTAAAGTTTAGGACCAAACCTCCTCGTGCATTACCTGCTAGTACGTCTCATTACCACTGTTGAACAGTGTGGGAAGATGGGTCTTCACCTTCCCAGGAATATGGTCGTGTTCCAACCTCTCTTTGGTTGTCTGTCTGCCTGGCCCAGTTCTCACTGCTTTCAGAGGTGCGGGGTGTGATCTCCCCGCAAGACCTCGACCGCTTCGACAACCTGGTGCTGAAGAGAGAGATTGAGTCCATGAAGGCACGTCAGCCCTCGGGGCCCAGCATCGGCACCGACTCCTACTCTATGATGTCGTACAGCGACACCGTCTCTTCCTCGAGCAGCCACTTCACTGCCACAACCGTCAGCTCAGCCCGGGTGAGTCCCTCCTGGCTATTCCTTTTTCTTTCAACACCCGCTCCTGGCAAACCTACAACAAACTCATTTCCCTGGAATGCTATAAAGGCATTTCACCGTGTAGGAAACCCTGTTTGTTCAGTCTGCT